GCAATTTTTTTTGCATTTATTGGGGTACCAAAATTGACCACATGCTTATAATTTTTAGAGGTTGGTATTTTCGTCTCTGGCAACTGGACTATATGACGTTATGATGCAAAAAATACAAGAATAACATTAACATTATATTATTGGTCGTAGATAAAGTAATTTAATGTTAATAATACTTCCGCAATAAAAAGGTTTATAAATATAATTTAATCTTCTAGAAAATACATAAATAAATATATCTCACAGTAAAAGCTGGCAATACACCCTATAAATTATACTTTACATCAAAATCCATTGTGAGAAAACTGTAATCGTTACTAATCTTATGATTTATTATTCCTTCAATTTTAAAACCTCTAGTAGTAGTAAGGTGTTTTTATTTATATATACATCTATCACTAAAATAGAAAAAATTAGGGATTATTAATGTTCAAATGTAAATTCTATAAGGGAGACACTCGTTCATAATTATTTATTTAGGTGCTGGTATTATATTTATATGAAAGCAAGTTATATGTAGATTTATCAAATAATATCAATATTGTGTGTGTATGCAATCAAATTCTTCTTCTTCTTTTTAGCCGTCTGTCGTCCATGTTTGGACATAGGCCTGTCCCAACTCCTTCCATCGGTCTCTATCCTAAGCAACATATTTCCAATTTGTTCCGGCTATTCTTTTAATGTCATCAACCCATCTCATCTGTGGTCTTCCTCTTGGTCATTTACTTTCGTAAGGTCTCCAACGTTGTATTGTAGTATTCCAACGTTGGTCTTTCTGTCTAACAGTGTGGCCCGCGAAGCTCCATTTTAGTTTGGCAATTTTTGTTGTTATGTCCTCGACTTTTGTTTTGGATCTTACCCAGTCGTTCCTCTTTTTATCCGACAGTCGTATACCTAACATTGCTATTTCCATTGTTCTTTCTGTTGTGGCTAGTTTATGCATGTTTGCCTTGGTTAGGATCCAAGTTTGACAATGCATTGGTTGAACACTTTGCTCCTCAAGTACTGGGGTATTTTGCGGTTCTTAAGTATCCAACTAAGTTTTCCAAATCCTGCCCAGCTAGTCTTTGCTCTTCTAGTAATTTCCGCACTTTAATTCTCTTTGTCAAGTCTTAGGATTTGCCCTAGGTAGATATATTCCTGGATTTGTTCTATCTGACTGCCGTTTATAGTTATATGTCTGGGGTCATCTGTGTTTGTCATTATTATTTTTTCATATTAATTTTTAGGCCGACGTATTGGGAGCTGGCTGCTAGTTCCCCCAACATAATTTGCAGTTCCTCGAATGTGCTCGCTATAATCACTATGTCGTCAGCGAATCTGAGGTGGTTTAACTTGTTGCCATTAACGTTAATGCCATAGGTTGACCAATTTGTAGTTTTGAAGACGTCTTCTAGGGCTAGGTTGAAAAGCTTTGGCGATATTACGTCTGCTTGTCTCACTCCTCTCTTAATGGGGATGGGATTTGTATTTTTGTCTAGTTGTACTATCATAGTTGCATTTTCATATATATTATGTATTAGTTCCCTATATCTCGAATCTATTCTACAATTATTAATAGCTTGTTCTATGGCCCACATCTCGATACTATCAAACGCCTTTTCATAGTCGACGAAGTCAAGACATACGGGTAGTTGGTATGCATTTGCCTTCTCTATCAATGTTCTCATTGTCAGCAGATGGTCTGATGTACTATATCCTTTGCGGAAGCCAGCCTGTTCAACCGGTTAGTAATTATCCATTTTGTAGGTTAACCGGTTATTAATAATTCTCATAAATAGTTTGTATACTTGACTGAGTAACGATATAGGTCTATAATTCTGTAGATCACATTTGTCCCCTTTTCTGTGTAAGAGTATTACTAGACTCTCGTTCAAGTCTTTAGGAATCAGGCTATTATGGAGATATCTATTAAATAGCTCTGTTAGTACAGGGATTGTTAATGTCTTGCTTGTTTTCAAGAGGTTGGAAATTATACCGTCGTGTCCTGGAGCTTTATTATTTTTTAGTTCTCTTAAAGCTCTTTCTATTTCGTATCCCTTTATATTTGGTAGTACTTCTGATCCCACGTTTTTTATTTTTCATTTGACATTCTCCTTTGTTGTTTCATTAGGCTGGCCTTGCGAGCTGTACAAGGATGTTTAGAACTCTTCGACAATATTTGTTATTTTATATTTGTCCTTCTCTACCTTATTGTTGGCGTCTTTAATTTTGATGATTTTTTGAACTCCCAGTGCGGGTCTCAGACATTTTAAGCCTCTGTTATTTTCAATGACTCGCAACTATTATGTTCTCGTTTCATTTTTGTATGTCGCGTTTTAGTTCTTTTCTAAGTGTTTTATTAAGTTCTCTATATTCTTGAGTATGGCGTTTGTTTCGCGCTAGTAGTTGTCTTCTTTCCGTCATTAGCTGTTCAGTTTCATTGCTTATTTTGTCTTCTTTAGTCCTTGTTTTCTTTGCGACCTGTAGTCCTGCTGCGAGAAGGTTTTTATTTAGGTTTTTATTACTCTCGTCAATTTGATCTTGATTATGTGAAGAATCAGGTTCGAACTTATCTGCTAAGACCTCTCGGAATTGTTCTTCATTTGTTCTTAGTTTAAAGGCGTCTATCCTCGTTGTTTTTTTTTAATCCTATTTCTCTCTTCTTTCATGTTAATATTTATTTTTGCTCTGAGTATGCGATGGTCACTACCCGTTGTTACGTTGTTTATTGTTGTGACGTCTTCAAATATTCCTTTTTTGTTTGAGAGAAAATAGTCTATTTCATTTTTGGTAGTTCCGTTAGGTGCGACCCATGTCCACTTTCTGTTAGGTTTCTTTTTGTAGAAGGTATTCATAACATACATGTTTTCTTGTTCCAGGAATTCCATGAGTTTTTCTCCTCTTGTGTTTCTTGTGCCGAATCCAAAATTTCCAATCTTGCTTTCAGAGTCTTCAATCTTACTTCCAATTTTGGCGTTAAAGTCTCCCATTATTATTATTTTGGATTCTTTGTTGTTGTCTATAGCTTTTTTAACGTCTTCGTAAAAATAATTTATTTCCTCATCGGTTGCTTTTTCAGTTGGAGCATAAACTTGCACGATCTTTATTTTAGTTTTTGGATTTAGTTTTAGGACCATGTATGTTACCCTGTCTGATATAATGTTCAGCTAACACTTCTACTACTTCCACAGTGCACTGGGGGAACTCGGGGAAAGGGGGCAGAATCTTCTTAAAGCTGCGTAGTTAAGTTTACACAAAAAAACTGGAGTGTTTATCTCGCTGATGTATACAAGACTGAGGTGCGTGTAGTCTTCAAGCTTCGCTTCGCTTAAGTCTCATTGGGGCAGTGCGTACAGGGGCGTATAATTTACGTTTATAAGACATACACACACGTTAATTAAATAAGTAAATATAAAATAAAATAATAGGAAATACTTAATAATAAATAAGAATATTTGTGGAGGGACCTAACAACTATATTCAATAACAACTATGTTTTTAAAAATCTTAAAAATAGAGGGAAACATTATGATATTACTTTATCAGGTAGTTTAAATTATTATTTGTTAGGTTAGAAAGAACACTGCGAAATATTAGGAAATGTAGAAGTCGACAATTTCGCTAAATCTGCAGCTTTAATCAAACATAGCATAAATAACATAATTCTACCAGCAACAGACAAATAATATAAGTAAAAGTAATTGCAAACTAAGTTGACAACATCTATACAACAAAAGCACAAGGGAAATAAATTTTAGAATTTGAGAAGCACTAATTTCCATTGAGAGATAGTATAAATATGAGTCAAATAGGTTATTTATAAAAACAATAAACAGAATAAGATCAAATCACGTACTCACCCCAACATACAAAAACGGAATAGGTATAGCTGTGTATATAACCCATGTAGCACCAGTGGTAAAATGGGCGATCTATAGCACCTCATATTGGACTGTAAACAGTAGAAACGAAGTATTAAATTAATGTATGAAAAGTTAATTGACCTAAATTGTCCTTTACCTTTTAATTTAATAACAATTATTTTTCCAAAAAATGAGTAGGCGACTCTTACGAATACGAGGGACTCTGGTCCGAGTGTTTATTATAAGTCGCCTGAGGATATAGAAGTCTATTAATGCCCACAGTACATACAAACTTTTATGTCACACTAGTTTTTTTTATATCCACAATCTAAATATTTTTAAAAATTCAGAAAGTTTGTCATAGTAGGTAGAGTGAGCAAAACCGTCTGTCGGAATGAACAATGTCAAATCTATCTATCACCAGATCTTCCTAGAATTGCCAGTTTATAAAAAATAAATTTATTATAAACTTCCTGGCGTCTAAATAATGTAACAACTTTGTCTTTTTTGGACAGTAAGAGACAATTATTCTTGTTTGTTCAAATCCAAATAAATCTCAAAGTAAATATCCTAGTTATCATGATGTGAAAAACTTAACTGTTGTGATGTTACGACCTGAGTTTGGATTTCAGTTACTAATCTTTTGACAACGAGCGATGCCTTTACCAACATTTTTGACCATCTGGACTCTTTCCTGTATACATTTCTAACTTCCATGTATAAAATGTAACGCTTTCACAGATCCCAAATTATAATACCATATCTGATAGGCTTATTTGGCATAAATGGACACCTTCCCTACCTACTGTTCATCCACAGTCATACAACAGTTGCGTAAGTAACGATCTTGTAGATGACTAAGCGAATCTTGCCAACACCCGGTGCAATATCTACCAGTGTCAGTACTGTTATTTTGAACAATGAGTATTAAATGCACTATTATTGGTGCAATATATTATATTATCTTTCAACATGGCCTAGATACTGTCCAGAAGTCTCTGGGGATTTTAGATTTTAAAATTCTAATGTTATATATAAACTGACTACTGTTCTTACTTAGTTAAATGTGTAACCTACATATACATATATCTGAAACTAATATCTTATAACCCTTGAAATATAAACATGTACATTGATGTTCTAATTTTTTTGTAGGAGCAAAAGCAGAAGCGTAGACCACGGCATTACATCCCCATTTGATTTGGACGCCTTACGAGCAAAAGTCGATAGTCAGTTTGATAGAAGTCTTGATAGAGGTAAGGAATTTCTATTGGGTATCAATATAATTTCCAAAAATAATCATTAATTTTAAAAACAAATATATTGTTAGTGAAATACTGTATCATGTATAAATCTTTAAAATCAAACAATTGTCTTCAAAGTAAGGTATAAATTGGTTATATCATTGTATTCCGTATACTTTCTTTCTTTCTCTCCTTCCTTTTACCCTATCAGGGTGTCGGATTTGGGCTAGCTATTTTAATTTACATTTACCCACCTCTTCCATTCTTTTCTCTTTCCTGCCAATTTTCAATTCCTCAAGTGATTTTTGATTAAGTTTTTTAGCCTCTACTACTTGCTGTATCCATTGTTTTCTTGGTCTGCCTCTGTCTCAAAAAATATCTTCCGATGTTTTTTGCTTTATAAACTTTTCTTGTTATTCTATTGGATGGCATCCTCAACAGATGCCCATACCAGTTTGTCTCTTTGCTATTTTGTTCATTATCGGTTCCTGGTTGGCTATTCTTCTAATAGTCACGTTGCTTAATCTATCCCATTTTGTCTTTCCAACTATCCTTCTTAGATGTCTCATCTCCACTGCGTTTATCCTGCTCTTATGTTTTTCCAGAATTGTTAAGTTTTCACTTGCATAGAGCACAGTCGCTATCACTATTATGTTATATATTTTTATTCTTGTTTCTCGTGCAAGTGCTCTTTTTCCCATTATTGGGGTTAACGCATAGTATAACTTGTTTAATTTCTTTGCTTTATTTGTTATTTCCCAGTCTATTTTTCCGTCATTAGTTGTTATACTTCCCAGGTATGCGTAAGTTGTTACTATTTCCAATTCTGAGTTTTTACATTTTATCTTTATTTGATTATCTTCCCTATCTCCTTTGCCGCTGATTATCATTATATTACTTTTTTTCTCGTTTATCTCCATTTTTAGTTCTTTTATTTGTTCTACCCATACATCCGTTAGTTTCTGAATTTTATTCTCGGCATCTGCTATTAGTACTATGTCGTCTGCATACATTTAAGAACTCTATTGTTACCGGTTTTAATCTGTGCTAACCTATTGTTGTCTGTAGTTGATTGGTTCTGACTCTAGTGTTTCTTGTCAATTCGTTCATTACTATTATGAATAGCAAAGGGCTGAGACTATCTCCTTGTTTAATACCTCTCTTCCAATTAAATTCTTCCGATCTTTTACTTATAATTTGTACCCTTCCTTTTACCTCTTTGTAAGTACTTTCTATAATTTTTATCAATGCATTAGGTACATTTATTTTCCTCAAGCATTTCCCTATATGTCTTTCTATCGTGTCAAATGCTGCTCTTAGGTCTATGAATGCTAATACTAGTTTTTCTCCCGTATCTATGCTTCTTTCTATTAGGCTTCTAATGATATATATGTTGTTATTTGTCTGTCTTCCCGATCTAAATGCCGTTTGTTCTTCTCCTAATACCATTTTTACTTCTTATCTCAGTCTCTTTTCTATTATTTTCTTATATATTTTAAAGCATACCGATGACAGACATATTGCTCTATAGTTGTCGCAGTTTACATGTTTTCCTTTTTTGTATATTGGCACGATGATATTGTTCTGCCAGTCTTTAGAGATTGTTTGTTTTTTCCACGCCTCTTTATATATTTTCCATAGCCAGTTTATTCCTTCTTCTTCCATGTATTTTACCATTTCCGGTTCAATTTCATCATCTCCACCTGCCTTGCCCATTTTTATATTTGATAATCCTTCTATTACTTCTTCTCTACTTATTTGCTCTAGCTCTGTGTTTTCTTCGCCTTCATTGATTATATTGTTTTCCTTTATCACTTCGGTATCAAATTTTTTCTCATAATATTCTTTCTATACCCTAGCTACTTGATCTGGGCTAATTTGTATTGGGTTTGAAGTATCTCTTACTGCGTTTATTTCCTTTCGTTTTCCTTGCCTTGTGTGTCGTATTGTCGTCCAGAAGTTTCTATTATTTGTTATATCTTTTCCTGAAGTTCTTCTCCAAATTCTTTCCATGTTTTTGCTTTTGCTTGTGTGACTGTCTTTTTTACCAATCGTCTCTGCCTATAGTATTTATCTTTATCTTCTTATCCGTTTCGATGTATTTTTTCCATGCTAGTTTCTTCTTTTTTATTTCTGTCTTCACTTATTTATTCCACCATCTTGTCCTTTTTGAACTGTTTATTATATTTTTTGATTCTACACACTTCAGTTGCTGTTGTCTGTTGTCGTACGTATAAAATTCTCGCAAACTTTCTATCTTTAGTTTGTTTACATTTACTTTTTTGTAGTCTTTTCTTTCCCTTCCTCCATTTTTTCATCCTCCAGTTTTGCAGTGACCATTCTGTGTTTTGTAGACAGTTCCGGTGTCTTTTCCGTTAAGATGTTTTTTATATTTTGTTCTAGGTTTATCGTATAGACTATATAGTCGATTAAGCTTTTCGCATTTCTCTCTTCAGCCACAAATATATATTTACCGTTAATGGTTTGTTCACTGAATGTGTCCTATTAGCAGGTCATTGGTTTGACAGAATTCCAGCATTACTCCGTATACATTTATTAAAATCTTAGCTATTATAACTACCTCTTTTACATAAATTAATTTACCGATAAAACATCACGTTTTTCAAAAGAAATGGAGCATTTTAAACACAAGTTTTCAAAAGAAATTTTTATGGCTTGCAAAAGGAAATATGGCGCCTTAATAAGAGATCTAAATGAAGATGAAGAAACTAATAGATCCGAAACACATAGGAAAAGATACATAGTTTGACTAGCCACAAGACACAGAGGTGGCAGCAAGTGAAGTTAGTGCCAGAAACACTAGAAATAACCAAAAACTAAATTTGTAAAATTAATTAATTAATTAATTAAAATTATAATTTTTTATTTGGATTGATGCAACTAATATCATTATAATATGGTTATTTAAAATTAACAATAATTGTGTGACCACAGATTAATATTTATGCATTCAGTCCATTACATGTAAAGTACATTTGTACACAAGACTTTTACATAGTATATTTGTCCGTTTATCTAATCAACAGATTGAATGTAGCTAGATTTTAGATTAGTGCAATAGTAATTCCGTTAATTCATTGGACCATACTCGTTATGTAACAGTTATGTGTATTATATTTGTCGGATCAGTGAATTGGACACGTAACTGTTACGTATTTAAGTGTCTACTCGCAGTTAACGATCTAATATGGCGCTTTCTACATCACGAAATCGTTTAGATCGTTTTAAAAATAGAAACAGTAAAAAATATATCTTTCTTAGAAATGTTTAGATAATTGTTTCATTATCAAAGGAAAAGTTTTGCACTATACACTATACAAGTCTATATAATTCTTTTGACAAGAAAGCAGGAATTATCTTGTCTACTCTTTTTTGAGCTTTAAGAACTTTTGTACTTGCTAACCATATCAAATTCTCTCTTATCTGCCTTATGGCTGATAATAATGATTTATTAGCCCTTAAACAAAACTTTACATTTTGTGAAATAATTATTTAGTAGAATTTATGAATAGTCAATCGTTGTTGTGTTGTATTAATAAATACTATTGGGTGTCTCTCAGTTTTTCACAAACTTCACTTGGTGAAGTCCATCTCTTTACTTTATCTCCCATGGTGTGGTGAACGTGCCGCCTTATGGTGAATTGTAGGTTATGTGTTCCACCAGGTCGCCTTCCCACTGTTACCGACCATTGTGCATTCCCTAAAGATTCATCACTAAAGACTACCTGAATCCATTCCCGGTCCTATAGAATTTCTTCAACAATGTTCAGTTGTGGGAGGTAACACCTAATGTGGACCATAATAAAAAAGATGAAACTGTCATATTAGCTGGAATACCTGCCAAATTAAAGGCACACTTACCCAAGTAAATAAAAGTGCAGTTATAACTGGCCACCAGTAACTCTAAAGAATCATCAATTATCAAACATCAACAAGAAGATCCCAAATAACTGGATATGCACTTAGAAGTAGAGATTACATATAATAGCAACTGAGACTTATGCTCAGAGAAACTTCCAAAACCTCTCTAGACTCAAGAGTTTTGTTCCATACGATGTAATGAATAGATCTTAAAAATCCTGTCAAAACAGCAGTTTAGGTCATACTGGTGGTCTGAGAAGTAACCTCATTTGAAATGAAAAACATGGTTTTCTAAGAAATTCTTTTATTTTATTCAATTGTGAATCATTTAGGCTTAATCCAACTATTCCAGCGATTTTCAATCTTCTTTATGCCGTCCAAATAATACAATTCTGGAAGATCTGTAAAATAGACGTTTGTTTCGTCAAGTATCTCTTTTTTTGAGCTGAATTTTTATTTACGAGCCATCGCTTCAGATTTGGGAACACATAATAGTCGCAGGTGTCAAAATCAGCATAATAAGCCGGATGAGAAAGCAATTCGAAGCCCAACTCAAAATTCTCACGTTTACCACTCTGTCTTGAAGGCAAACGTTGCATTACCAAAACGTATAATGCGGTTTCGTCTGCATTAACAATATTTTTAGCTTCATTGTCCATGATAATTGATGTAATTGAAGTTTTCAGTCTTACTGTTACTTTGATCACGTCAACAGACTCACCCGACTTTGTTTTAAAATTAATGTCGTCTCTCTTGCAGAATATATGTATATATATATATATATATATATATATATATATATATATATATATATATATATATATATATCCAGCTACTTAAAGCATTAAATCCATTAACATTCACATATTTGGATACTTCTAAATTTTCTTTATTTTTTAAAGATCCCAATATAGAGTAACGTTTTTACTCATTGCTTTATAAAACTAATCAAAAACTATTTAATCAATAACAAATATTCTTTCGTTTTTGTAAATTTCTTATTACAAAAGAATTTGTAATAAGATAATTTTAAAAGCTCAAAACTTACCGTTAAAGGTGGTCGCTTTTAAGGTGTTGTTCAAATACGGAGTTTCACTGTATTATAAAAAAAACGGAGTAGACGTTTCGAA